GGTGGTTGAAATGGAAAACTGAATACAAAAATCCAGTAACATCTCAAACGAATTTCCGTCTGCTGTGAATGCATGTTTCGTTACATCAAATAAATAACCCAATTTTATTGAATGTATCCAAAAACATGGTACCAATGATCTGAAATTTCAGGAGTGCTCGCTGAAGGTTTATCAATCTTGCTTATTGTCTTGTTCTTTACCAATCCTGCATTTCAGTTACTAGAATTTATACTAAAAAAAAATAGTTTCTGTTTTTCTTCTAATAATTCGGCCACTCTCAAAAACAAATATTTTTCCATGGTCGAGATGCAAGAAGAATACAAAACTACTGTGATTGCATAGCGATACCTGTAGGGCCATTGTCAATTAGTTCGCCTGATCAACACAGCGTTATACATAGGGCTGATATTGAATCACGGAGAGTAAAATCTTGTGATACTAATCTCTAGAACCGCTCAGATTGGTACATACCGGTATGTCTTATGAACCCACATGTGTATATCTTTAACAATACTCATTTTAAACTTTTTTTTTTTTACAGTGGTGCTGTGAACTGCTTCAATTTTGCAAGGCAATTTTTTCTGGGTTCCTACAACATGGAGTGTCAGGGACTTTATTGAAATTTCATAGAATCCTGAATATATCTAGAAGTGAAAATTAAATGGTTTACAGTATTTTATACCCATTAATAATGATGAAATGCAATAATATCACTGCACTAAAAAGACTTCAAACAATTATTGTTACTTCTTCATTGAAGGTTATGAGCAGACCAACCTTTACTGGCTTCCTTAATTATTACATGTACTTGCTCTGAAAACATAGCTTTTACAATTGTTTAAATTAACAGATGCTGTTCTATGTACAATGAATACATTTTAAGGTAGCGAGAAGGGAAATTTTCACTTTTTTCTTGATTTTTCAAAAATTGATAAAACGGTTACTTTAGACCTTGATACATCACCCCAGGTTTACAAAAGATCGAAATTGCGAAATAACGTTGCTCAAATTAGTGTTTTAAAACACTAGCAGAAAAGACTACAACTGCCGTTTTGTGGATATTTGCATAGTGTTTATCTTTGAAGGAATTAAATGATAAAATCTTATCTGTATACTCTGTTGTTGACGATTCTGATATAACGGGTGACAAGCTTCCAGTTGCAAACAATGCGTGTTTATCTAACAAATACACAAAGAGGTGTAATATTAGGTTTTATTTTAGGCTTAGAAATATTTTCTTTCACTCAGCCCATGTATGTAACTGCCATTTAGCTTTACGGTCCTTCAGCATCGGGGGAAAACAACAATAATTATACAAAACACATTGCGAAGACTCAACAATCAGGAAAGAAACCCCAGACAACCATGTCGTACTTGTGTTGAAATACATTTTGTATTTCACGTCAGAATATTGTTTAAAATAAAATATTCAGTCCACGCCAAAATCGAGGTCAAAGGGTCAGGTTGCGTGCATATAATTATATATAGTTAAAACAAAAAGTATTTGAACTTTTGTCATCTGTTCATCATCTATAAAAACCA